CACTTTGCTCCCCCTAAAACCACCAGGGTTTTGAACACCGGTTCCCCAGGTGGCAGGAACAGCCCAACACCAAACCCCTATTGCCCAAATTGACCGTAGCTCCAAGGAAATATATCTTGGGCCATCTGGACCTGCTTCTGCCAATGTGTTGGTCATGTTCCCACTGAACTCAGTGCAAGGGCCTCCAGTGGAAAGGGGACTGTCCCCAGGGCTCTAGTGTGCCCAACACGAATTCAGCTGGAGGCAGGGGTGCTTCTGCGCCCCTGGCAGGGAGACGGCTTTCCCCGGAGGCTGGGATGACGTGGAAGAAATGCAGAGCAAATCAGCTCAGTTGCACCACTGAGACCAAAATGGGGCCCACGACCATGAAGATACCAAGAGGGTATCTAAACCGGGCATATGGTCCTCTCCCAGTGATACAAACATGCCCATTAACTCTCACTGGGCCATCCGGGGATCGGGCAGGGGAGGACAACACACTGCAGAAAGGCTGGGAATTTCCCCTGGAGCATCCAAAAAAAGTTCAAAGGCCAGATCACCAGCTCTGAAACCCCTTTGAGCACTCCAGCCCCAGCTGACTTAACCCCATCCCCTCCTGTCTTCTAGTTTGGCCTCGAATGGAAACGACGGGTTGGAGTGCGGGCAGGGGATGGTCGGCACCCCGCGTCCCGCTGATGGGAATCACCTGTCTGCTCACGTAGCAGCTTTCGCCTTCCCCCCCTCCTCACTCCCAGTCTCTCGCAGCTCTTCGGGATTCAGACTGTGCAGTGCTTCTGAGTGCAGTAATTAGAGCACAGTGAAATACTGGTTAAATGCGTATGTACAGTTGGATAACATAAAAAATAAGCACAAATACAAACTTAAAAAAATAATCTGGAAAAAAAAAAAAACAACAAACCAAAACTCCGCCCCCCTCCCCCCACAAACAACAATATACCAGGGGAAAAAATACCTTAGCCTTAGTTCTGGACTTAGCACAAAGCACAAGGAAAACAAAACCAGACAATGTTATAAAACCTCACGGTTCTTCTAGGGAAATCTACACTTCAGTATCTAGCTCTCTACTCAGCTGGCAGAATCAGTGTTTTCCTTTCAAACACACAAAAATAGGCTTTGCTCTTCTTGGATTTGGATTATGCGGGTTTTCTTTTCTCCTTTTTTTGTGTTTTTTTTTTCTTTTTTCTTTTCTTCCTCTCTGTAAAGTCTCACTTGTTATTTTTTCCTCCACTTGAATCAGTTGCAGCAAGAAACTTTTGTTGGCTATTGGGCTTTCTTTGTTTCTCTCTCTTCCCCCACTCCCCCTGCCCCTTTTTTTTTTTTCTTAAACACAGGTAAAACCTAGAACAAACCGACAGTTACAACCAAGTGAAACCGAAACCGGAAGGGAGGTAGCTGGAACCCGACTCCCAGAGTCCTCTGGTGCCATCCTCCCTTCTCAGCCTGGGAGGGACAGCAGAAGATGCAAGAAAAGCAGGAGGACACCAGCTCAGCCCATCTGCGAGAGGGTGGGGAGGGAGAGGGGTAGCAGCTGATAGGAGTTTCCCACCCCACCATGCACCATTCACCGCTTTCTGCTCCAGCTTTCCCTCCCGCTGGCCATGGACACCGCCTGTAGCCAGGAGGCTGGCTGGTGGCCCCAGGCAGGGTGTAGCCTTGGCTCACGATCTGTGACAGAGAAGATCTTGGCATTAATGTGACCTGGACTTCATGAGCAGCTAAATTTCATCAGCATGAGCACCCTCTCCTGTTCCCCTAGACTTCTTGTTTGATATTGTCCTA